ATCTGGGGCGGGGCTGGCCAGCCAACCTCCTGTGGCCCCTCCCCCTGGCTGGACCCCACCTGTGAACAAATCCATGCACCGGGCCTCTAGCATAAGTGGAATTGTACAATATAAGCTCTTTTGTGACTGGCTTCTTTCACTTAACATATAATGCTTTCAAGGCTCATCTACATTATATCATATATCAGGACTTCATTCCTTTTTATTGTCTAATAATATGTCTGTATGTGTATACCACATTTTACTTATTCATTTATCAGTTGATGGATATTTTGGTTGTTTCCTCTTTTTGACTATTTTGAATAACTAGAGGCCCGGTGCATGAAACTCATGCACGGAGGAGGAGGGAAGGGTCCCTCAGCCCGGCCTGCACCCTCTCGCAGTCCGGGATCCCTTGGGGGATGTCCGACTGCCGGTTTAGGCTTGGTCCTGCGGGCCTAAACTGGCAGTCGGACATCCCTCTCGCAATCCGAGACCATTGGCTCCTAACTGCTCACCTGCCTGCCTGCCTGATCGCCCCTAACCACTCACCTGCCTGCCTGATTGCCCCTATCCATTCTGCCTGCCTGTCTGATCACCCCTAACCACTCTGCCTGCCTGATGCCCCTAACTGCTTGCCTGCCTGCCTGATTGCCCATAATCACTGTCCTGCCTGCCTGATTGCCCCTAACCACTCTGCCTGCCTGCCTGCTCACCCCTAATTATTCACCTACTTGCTTGCCTGATGGCCCCTAACTGCTCGCCTGCCTGCCTGATCGCTCCTAACTGCTTGCCTGCCTGATGGCCCCTGATCGCCCCTGCCTGCCTCATTGCTCTAACTGCCTCTGCCTGCCTGTCTCATTTCCCCTAACCGCTCACCTGCCTGCCTCATTGCCCCTAACCACTCTGTCTGCCTGCCTGATCACCCTTAACCACTCGCCTGCCTGCCTGATAACCCCTAATCACTTGCCTGCTTACCTCATTGCCCCTAACTGCTTGCCTGCCTGCCTGCCTGATCACCCCTAACCACTCGCCTGCCTGCCTGATCACCCCTAACCACTTGCCTGCCTGCCTGCCTGATCACACCTAACTGCCTCTGTCTGCCTGCCTGCCTGCCTCATCGCCCCTAACCACCCTGCCTGTCTGCCTGATCACTCCTAACCACTCTGCCAGCCTGCCTGATTGCCCCTAACAACTCTGCCAGCCTGCCTGATCACCCCTAACCACTCGCCTGCCTGCCTGATCACTCCTAACTGCTTGTCTGCCTGCCTGATTTCCCCTAACTGCTCACCTGCCTACCTCATTGCCTCTAACCACTCTGCCAGCCTGCCTGATTGTCCCTAACCATTCACCTGCCTGCCTGATCACCCCTAACCACTCGCCTCCCTGCCTGAACGCCCCTAACCGCCTCTGCCTTGGCCCCCACTGCCACGTCTTTGTCCGGAAGGATGTCCAGAATGATATCCGAAGGTTGTTCTGCTGTCTGGTCTAATTAGCATATCACACTTTTATTATTATAGGTGGTGTACAAACACTTCTAAAGGATTTTATGCCTTCAATACATAAATCCAATTATAATAATCATACTAATTGAGTATATATTCTGGGTCAAGTCCTGCAATGGCAATTATTATGGATTATTTCTTTTGATCCTCATAATAACCCAGAGATATAGATAATATTATCCTCAGTTTACACATGCTAAAATATAGGCCCTAAGAATTAAAGAACTAGGCTAGAGTCAGTTAGTAGTTACTGTTGTCTAAGATATAATTCATACCTGGGCCTACCAGCTAAACTGCAGTGAACTGCATGCCTCTAAACTGGAGTTTGAAGCCTGTTGGAGTTCCTGGCATATGCAGATGCCCTCATTCATGTTCATGTCATACTCACTTTTGTCAGCCTTGACCTTTCTTGTCTCTTAGTCTTTTTTAAAAATACATTTTTATTGATTTCAGAGAAGAAGGGAGAGGGAGAGAAAGATAGAAATATCAATGATGAGAGAATCATCGATCGGCTGCCTCCTGCACGCCCCCTACTGGGGATCGAGCCCACAACCCAGGCAGGTGCCCTTGACCAGAACTGAGCCTGGGACCCTTCAGTCCGCAGGCCGACACTCTATCCGCTAAGCCAAACTGGCTATAACTATTAGTGTTTATGTCCATACTCACTCTCAGTTACTCATCATGTGTTCTGCACAGTTACAGTCTGCTGTGTCATGGTTTTCCTCTGGTTATTCTGTGTTTATAATATAGATAGATAAGATGAGAAACGTCTTTAATTGAGGGGCCTGAGCATAGTGAAAACAAGGTTGATTTTGAAAATTGGTGGAAGTTATATAGGGTTATTTTGGTCTTTATGTGAGAAGAAATTTCTAAGCAGCTAAAACTGTTCCTCAATGTAATCAGCTGCCTTGTGAAGAACTTTCTAGAACTGAATGTTCTGAAAGCAGCAGTGGAGTTCCCTCCTCTAAGGATGTTATAAAATGCATTTCCACACCAGTGAGTGGCAGGACCCAAAGGCCCCTTCCACCCTGGGGAAGGGCTTGTTCCCTGGCACAGCTGACAGATATTAGCCATAGAGCAGTGTGACTCGTTCTTATATGCTCTGGCTTCAGGTTTTGTTTTCATTTTCAAGTCTAAATAAACATAATGCCAAACTGTTGGAAATTAACTTGGTAAAGATGTCTTTATCCTTCCGATGCATTGGAGAGAACCAAGATGGCGGCATAGGTTAACGCTGGAGTTTGCTGCTTTGAACAACTACTTCAAAAGTGAAACCAAAAAACGGAAGGGACATCACCCAGAACCACAGGAACGCTGGCTGAGTGGAAGTCCTACAACTAGGAGGAAAGAGAAACGCATACGGACACTCAGAGGAGGCGCAGTGCTGAAGTCAAATTCTGAGGTGCGGAGTGTGCGCAGCGGGCTGGCGGCGGAGGGCGCGGTTGGCATTTTCAATCGGGAGGGAGTCGCAGACTCTGAGCTCCAGATCCGGGCGAGTCTCTAGGGACCCAGACTCAAATGGGAGAAGCGGGACTGTCTGGCTTCAGTCAGAGCGAGTGCAGCTTTCTCTCCGAGCTTTGCAGCGGGTGCTGGGACTCAGAGAGGCAGAGCCCCTGGGGACAGGACTGAGAGCCGCCATAACTGCTCTCTCCAGCCCACCCTGTTGATCCTGTGCGACCCGCCCCGCCCCGCCCAAGCCCTGCACAGAGGCTTTTGCCGGATAGCCTCAGGCAAAGGCTAGATTAGCACCTCCCTAGAGGACAGAAGTTCTCTCACTGCTGACACAGCTGATTCTCATAGCCACTTGGCCTGGAGGTCAAACCCTCCCTGGAATTAGCTACAACAATCAAGATTTAACTATAAGACTGCGAACAAAGACCACTAGGGGGATGCACCAAGGAAGCATAACAAAATGCGGAGACAAAGAAACAGGACAAAATTGTCAATGGAAGATATAGAGTTCAGAACCACACTTTTAAGGTCTCTCAAGAACTGTTTAGAAGCCGCCGATAAACTTAATGAGATCTACAAGAAAACTAATGAGGCCCTCGATCTTATATTGGGGAACCAACTAGAAATTAAGCATACACGGACTGAAATAACGAATATTATACAGACTCCCGACAGCAGACCAGAGGAGCGCAAGAATCAAGTCAATGATTTGAAATGCGAGGAAGCAAAAAACACCCAACCTTGAAAAGCAAAATGAAAAAAGAATCCAAAAATGCAAGGATAGTGTAAGGAGCCTCTGGGACAGCTTCAAGCGTACCAACATCAGAATTATAGGGGTGCCAGAAGATGAGAGAGAGCAAGATATTGAAAACCTATTTGAAGAAATAATGACAGAAAACTTCCCCCACCTGGTGAAAGAAATGGACTTACAGGTCCAAGAAGCGCGGAGAACCCCAAACAAAAGGAATCCAAAGAGGACCACACCAAGACACATCATCATTAAAATGCCAAGAGCAAAAGATAAAGAGAGAATCTTAAAAACAGCAAGAGAAAGAAACTCAGTTACCTACAAGGGAATACCCATACGACTGTCAGCTGATTTCTCAACAGAAACTTTGCAGGCCAGAAGGGAGTGGCAAGAAATATTCAAAGTGATGAATACCAAGAACCTACAACCAAGATTACTTTATCCAGCAAAGCTATCATTCAGAATTGAAGGTCAGATAAAGAGCTTCACAGATAAGGAAAAGCTAAAGGAGTTCATCACCACCAAACCAGGATTATATGAAATGCTGAAAGGTATCCTTTAAGAAGAGGAAGAGGAAGAAAAAGGTAAAGATACAAATTATGAACAACAAATATGCATCTATCAACAAGTGAATCTAAGAATCAAGTGAATAAATAATCTGATGAACAGAATGAACTGTTGATTATAATAGAATCAGGGACATAGAAAGGGAATGGACTGACTATTCCTGGGGGGGAAAGGGGTGTGGGAGATGCGGGAAGAGACTGGACAAAAATCGTGCACCTATGGATGAGGACAGTGGGTGGGGAGTGAGGGCGGAGGGTGGGGCGGGAACTGGGAGGAGGGGAGTTATGGGGGGAAAAAAAAAGAGGAAAACATGTAATAATCTGAACAATAAAGATTTAATTAAAATATAAAATAAAAAAAAAATAAAAAAAAAGATGTCTTTATCCTTCCAATTTTAATCTCCTCTGAAAAAGCTACTTCTGATTTCTCAGATTGATATAAACTTTAGTTTGCATGCACGGAGAGGACTCTGGTTAAGGGTGAAGATTGGGGGTCAGCCAGGTCAGTATTTGAGTCTCAGTTCTGTGGCATCCTTGCTATGTGACTTGGGCTAGCTACTTTACTTTTGTTTGCCTTAGTTTCTTCATCTGCAAAATAGGAATAAGAGTCTCCCCTATAAGCAGCTGTTAGGATTCTATACTGCTTGCCTGGCACATAGTATATGCTCATTAAGTAATTATTATTTGAGGATTAGGAATTTGGATGGTTATTTTAGAAAAACTTAATCTCATTTTTTAAATTTTTCTCAGAGGAAACACAAGAATAGAAGAGGCTTGTGAAATGTATACCAGAGCTGCAAATATGTTCAAGATGGCTAAAAATTGGAGTGGTATGTATACAGTTTTTATTTGCTTGCTTTTGAGGAAGATACTTTTAAAATCATTTTGAAGGAGGAAATGACTGCTCTCCCCTTAGAGAATAAGATTGTAGGCCTCAAGCCAGGTGTCAGAACTGGGATTAAAGGACCTTGATTTAGTGAATGAAGTTGAAATCCTGACATAAAATTTAAACATAAGGACTGGGTCTGTTTTAGTTTCTATAAACCACTTCCTACAGTAATAGTAATTTTTTTCTTTTTCTTTCTTTTCTTTCTTTTTTTTTTTCACTTTAGAGAGGGAGGAAGGGAGAGACAGAGAAACATCAATATGAGAGATACATAGACTGGTTGCCTTGACTAAGGATCAAACTGTAATTTTTGCTTCTTATTAATGTACTCAAATAAATCTATTGCCATAAAAATTGAAAGTTGTAGTAAAACTCAATGAAAACAAATAAAAATGCCTACTTTTCTTTACCTACACAGTAGCAGAGAACTTCTATTTCTTGCTCTGAGAACAACTCTGTGATAATTGATTGTGGTTCCACTGAGAAGTGTGACAATGGGAGCGTTACTTATATATACCCCAACAGACTTTTTGTCATGTTTTAAAGTCATGCTTTCGACCCAGTGAAATTACACATAACAAAGTCAACAGAATCATTATTTTCATTGGTCTGAGAGGGGATGTTTCTTTCTAACACTGACTTGAGAAACAAAGTTATCCCCTATCCCTCGAAAAAGGGGCTTGTCATGGTAGGGTATCTCTCTAGTGAAATGAAGATGGCCTTCAACCAGAACAAGGACATGGTCTCTGCACCCTGGCCTACAGTGGGGTCCTTGCCCCCCACACGTTCATTTCCCCATTTCCTATTCCTTCCACCCTCAGCTCTATTAAGATACCAGAGGCCTGATGCACGAAATTCGTGCAAGGGGCTCAGCCCTCGCAGCTGCAGCGGCTTTGTCCGGAAGGTCGTCCAGCTGTCCGGTCTAATTAGCATATTATGCTTTTATTATTATAGATTATTATAGATAATTGACACAAAACTTTGTGTAAGCTTAAGGTTGGTTTACCCATTTGCTTTTAAAAATCATTTCAATGAAGGAAATGCTGTTGAACTAGATGAATATGAAAGGTCTTTTTCTGGCTTTAAAATTTTTTTGTAGGTTTAGTTTTAGATAAAAAGGTCATGTTATATGTTTTCAAAATACACTTATGCCTGAATTATAAATTACTGCAAAAAAAATGGAGGAGAAAGGAATATTATCTCAGCATTCACATCTTTTGTTTTTTTCAGGGCCTGTAATAGTAGGGGAAGGAGTGGTCTTATCTAAAAAGACCACTTGTTTTATCTGGTGATCAAATGTTCTAACCTAAGGAAATTCCATTTCAGAGAGGCTATTAACATTAATATAACTAAAGAGGCTTTGTATTTATCCTCCCCCATCATCTCTTGCCTACTCTGATATCTCAGCTTCTGCATTTTTTTCTGGTCTGTTTTAATGAACCACCAAAGTAATTCCGTTCAAACGTGTCAGCTTATGTTATTTCAGATAAGAGCTAAAGTCCTGAACAGTGGCCTTCTAGGACTTACCTGGTCTCTGATCCCTGACTCTTCCTGTCTTGTACCTCATCTCCTACCCACTCCCCTCATTCGCCGGGCTCCTTCCTCAAAGCCCTTTTGGCACTCTTTCTTCAAAATAGAGTGTAGCTGGTTCTCTTTATCTCCTTCAAATATTGCCTTTTCAGTGAGGTCTTCCCTGGCCAACCCTTTTAAAGATAGCAATTCAGCCCTAACCGGTTTGGCTCAGTGGATAAGGATCCCAGGTTCGATTTCGGCCAAGGGCATGTACCTTGGTTGCGGGCATATCCCCAGTAGGGGGTGTGAAGGAGGCAGCTGATCAATGTTTCTCTCTCATCGATGTTTCTAACTCTCTATCCCTCTCCCTTCCTCTCTGTAAAAAATCAGTAAAATATATTAAAAAAAAAAAAGATAGCAATTCACTATCTAGCAAAATTAATTAAAAATTGTTTACTAATTATATTGTGTATGTGTTTTTATTATATACTGTCTCTTCACTAGAATGTAAACCATAGAAGTCCAGGATATTTCATCTCTACTATACCTGCAAGACCTGGACTGGTGCCTGCAGCATGGCAGATGCTCAGGAGACTCATGCAGTAAATGGCTAAATATTAGATTCTGTGAAATTATTTCTGTGTAGCAGTGGTGGTTATCATAACACCATTGCATCTCAAGTTTTAAAAGTTAGAAAGATTAAGTTAATTTAATTGATACTGAGCTTTTGAGAGATCATCCTGGAAGGTATTAGACCAGTTTGACAGGTGAAGAAATTTAGCTTGAGAAGTTGTATGACTTTAGTTTAATATCTGCTCTTTTAAATACACTTTTAAGTTTGGGAAAATTGAGTGGCTTTTGTTAGCATGATTAGAATGAGTGCTCAGTGAAAAAGTAAGCCAGCAATTAGTTTTGGAAGAGCTAAATGATAAAAGCCAGCAATTAGCTTTGGAGCATGAAATGATAAAATCAAAACACTTAATATTGTCTGGGGAAATGGAGCCAGCCCTAGAGAGCCTGGAGTTGTGGGATTATACTCAGTGAGGAAAGGATGGACCGTCATTGGTTCTGGGACAGTCAGCATAGATAAACTGCAAAAAATGAAGTTACTGGTAGAAGAGGAAAGATGTAGGTTATAAGGAAGTGATGACATTTAAACATACCAAACCACTGGTATTGGTTGTAGGGTAGATTTGCGTGTAATAATGATAATGACCAACACGTGTAACTGGAGCCAATGTAAGCACTTGACTTGGGGATCCACGTTAGTACCACACTCTTCCGGGGCAGAGCCCATCAAAGCTTCCATTCAGCTGATACGTTCCTGAACTGTCCCTCAGAAGTTCGCTGCTGCCCCAAGTACCTCAGGGCCTACCGCTACCCTTGCAGTGGCATCGGCCCCTCCTCTGGGAACCCCTCATGAATCATCAAAGAAGTGTTCTCTCTTCCATGCTGGTGGTTAAATATTTTCAAAACTTCCTGGGCACTCTTTAAATCTTGCCCAGGAATACAAGCAGTGGGTACTTAGGCATCTGATACTATTTTCTGTATGTTTTTGAATTGTGCTTTTTTTTTTTTTTTTTAAATACAAAAAGGTTTTGTGATATTCTTAATTGTGCTTTTCCTAGTGGAACAAATTCCTTCCTCTCCATCCCTGTTAGTACTAACTTTCCTATTCCAGAATTTAAGAAAAAACTTTGGATTCCACAATTGAAGGCCTAATTATCACTCTTTGAGAAACTTCCTTTGTCCATGAAGCCTTCATTAGCAATTTCTTCAACAATTACAACTAAGTCCAGGGGACACTGTAAGATAGAAAGATGACCTCAGTGTTTTACCTTTCGTTAAGCATTAGTAGCTTCAGTCTGCCAGTCAGTGTTCAGTATGAGCTATGGGATAAAATTGAGTGGCCTGGTACTAGGCTGTCGCTACTGAATGGAAGCTGATAGCCTAGGTGCAGTGGTCGGCAAACTGCGGTTCCTGAGCCGCATGCGACTTTTTGGCCCCTTGAGTGTGGCTCTTCCTAAGCCTTAGGAGTACCCTAATTAAGGTAATAACAATGTACCTACCTGTATAGTTTAAGTTTAAAATATTTGGCTCTCAAAAGAAATTTCAATCGTTGTACTGTTCATAATTGACTCTGTTGACTAATGAGTTTGCCGACCACTGGCCTAGGGCCCACTTGGGAGGTCTTCTGTGGCTGAGAGAGGCTTCTATCACTGTTTGACTTGATTCTGGCTGTTTTTATATATACCTAAGATGCATTGATTGCATTTCCATGTGCTTCTGACTGGAATACTTCTTTCAGTGGCATGGAACTTTCTAGCCCTTAGGGCATGGGCTTTTCTGTAGGGATACTTGTTCCTCTCTGTTTAATTGTAATAATTTATCTTCCGCAGCTGCAGGAAATGCATTTTGTCAGGCAGCCAAACTCCATATGCAGCTCCAGAGCAAACATGATTCTGCCACCAGCTTTGTGGATGCTGGGAATGCTTACAAAAAGGCAGACCCTCACGGTAAGACACACCTCTGTCTAGGACAGTGATTTTCAACCTGTGTGCCGTGGCATACTGGTGAACCACAGTAATTTTTATTAAACCATGCAGTACCTGACTATTTAGATAGGGGCACTGAGTTCTTTTCTCTTAAATTGTCCAATTTTAAAAATGACAGTAGTCAACGCAACAATAGCTATCCGGTGTGAATGAATCAATATTATACCTTTTTTTTTGGTCAGATCAGCAAAAAGTATACTATATTTTTTTGTGTGCCACAGAATTTTACTAATTAGTTCATGTGTACCATGAGATGAAAGGTTGAAAATCGCTGCTCTAGGATGGTAGGGCTGAAGTTGGTGACCTTTTTCACAGGTTATACTGCTGGGCCTTTAGAGCGCTGATAAAAATAAACTTTTGTACTTTAGAATAATAGAGATTTTGGTAACTTTTAAGAATTGTTTAATCATTTGCAGCTTTAATGAAGAGAAGATATGTTAAATTTAACCTGGTGGTTTAGTTGCTTAATAGCATTTTCTTAAACTTCATTTATATTGCATTTTGGAGAACTTTTTGGAAATTAGCTTTAATTTTATCTAAGACTTATTATGTCCTAATTTTATGAATATGTATATTGCTTATTAGAGGAAACACCATGTTTCCTCACTCTTAAATACTTGGCGCGTTTTAAGATCCAGTTATTGGGAAATTAGAATATCCGATGTTGGTTTTTTTGTTATTGTTTGTTTTTTTTGAGAGAGAGAAACATCAATTTGCTGTTCCACTTATTTATATATTCATTGGCTGATTCTTATATGTGCCCTGATCGGGGATCGAACTGGCAACCTTAGCATATCGGGACAACACTAACCAACAGAGCTACCCTGTCAGGGCAGTATCCGCTGGTAAAAATCAACTTATTTACACAGTATTCATCTGACTTTTTAAAATGTTTTTCAAAGTATTTGTTTTAAGGAAAGAGTGAAGTTGGATATTTAAAGTGGTAAAATTTTGCAAATGTTATATTTCTTTTAGTTAGAGGAGTGCACATTTAACAATTAAAAGCATTAATTCCTTCCCTCTCACACATGTACTGGTAGCTGTGGAATTTCTCTTTTTTCTCTTAGCAGTCCATTTTAACATAGAAATTCCAACTTTTATGATTATATCATACAGAAATAAGATATTTTCAAGAGCTTTTGTGTAGAGATTGACCACGGTTGATTTCCAAAAGTGAAATACTGAACACAGCCTAGATGAGCAATGAGATAAGAATGGTACCCCTAGCCAATGGACTAAAGGGTCCCAGGTTCGATTCTGGTCAAGGGCACATGCCCAGGTTGTGGGCTCATTACCTAGTAGGGGGCATGCAAGAGGCAGCTAATTAGTGATTCTCTCTCATCTTGATGTTTCTCTCTCTCTTTCCCTCTAAAATCAATATATATTGATTTCAATCAATCAATATATGTATATATATATATATGAAATGATAAAGTTATAATACATCAGTATTGTAGAATATGATGCAGTTACTATAGTCCTTGATTTCAGAGAATCTTTATTGACCTGGTCAATGTTTACGTGGTAACTGAGAATTGAGATCTCAAATTCATAATAAAGTCTGTGCACATAAAAATGCACCTAGAAAACACTGGAAACATGAAAGTGGGTTTGAGTGGGATCATAGGTAGCTTATTTTTCTCTTTATATTTTCCTGTAGTTTTAAGGGAGCGACAGTGAATTCACATTTCTTACATAGTTTAGGAGGAAATTGCTTTTAACTTTTGTTCATCTACTTTCTGATTTTTTAGTTAGGCCTTTTTACTCTGCCACCTCTCTTTTAGAAGCAATAAATGTGGAGCTTTCAGACGTGTGCCAGAATTATAAACACCACCATTTTGTGATGGGTGTTGGTTCTGAACACAGCCTAACTTTTGGAAAAATAATATACTTTATCAACACTGTCACTTACTAGATTTTTTTATTCCTTTTGTGTGTATGTTAGTCCACCAAAAGTTAGTATCTTTAACATTGTACAAATTGTTGACTTAAGAGTTGTCTGAACAGGGATTTCAAAGTGCTTTGATTTTGGCTGCATGAAGAGTAGTCTGTTAAAGTCGTCTTTCTTATAGAGAACTTTCTTCCAAAATTAATATACTGTATATACATGATGTCACTGAAAAATACAATTACATTTGTGTTTTAGCAGGTGTAAATGATGGGTGTTGATGACAATCCCATTGGTTTGCTTTATAATGCAATCTCTCCCCTGGATGGAGTCCTCACTCGTAGGTTAAGAGTAACCGAGCCAATACCACTCTAGCTCCAGCTCCCTAAGTTGTACTGCAGCTGCTGCAGACAGAGCATGCTGAGGGGGCCTGGACTTGTGTATGATTCATGTTTGTTTCTCATTTACGAATATGCCCACCCTCTGCCCCAAGTGGTACCTCCTTAATGTTCTAGTAGCAGCTAGGAAAATAGGCTCACTTGAACCCTCTTTGACTGAATGGATTTTTCATTGTTTTTCTTAAATGCCTACGCTTCAGAGGCTATCAACTGCTTAAATGCAGCCATCGACATTTACACAGACATGGTAAGACATTACCTTGCTTGAGTGACTGTGGGGTGGACTCCTTGAAATGGCTTAGAGTTGTATTTTTTTTTTATCTTGTTCCTAAACTGATTGGCATTAAAATAGGTAAAACAGGAATGTAACTCTGTTTTTTGTTTCCCCCCAGGGAAGGTTTACAATCGCAGCCAAACACCACATAACTATTGCTGAGATTTATGAGACTGAACTTGTAGACATCGAGAAGGTAAGCAATGGGTCACATTCTCATAACCTTGGTGTGAAGCAGGTAACTGACTCCAGGGACTCTTGCCTCTTCCAGCAGAGTTGAATGGAGTAGCGTGACAGTCATGCATGGCTACACGTGGAAGTTTTAGGGGCTTGGTGGCTAAGGAGTAGAGGAACTGTTTTCCTGGAGTAAGTATTTGAGATGAGAGCTAGTGAAGATTTACTTGCTGTGTCTGCTTATGTGATTCATGTTAGAATCTTCATCTCTTCTGCTGAGGCTTCTGTGACCCTGGGAAGGAAGCTTAGGTACTGTGGGCATTTGTACATCTTTGTCTTCAGGCCTTGAAACCTGGGGAAGAAGGTAGCTGAACACCAACGTGGCCACATATCTGCTTCACTCAAGCCTGGCTTTTTAAGTGGTGGTTTATACTAGTACAGGCATACCTTGGAGATATCATGGGTTTGGTTTCAAACCACTACTATGAAGTGAAAAGCACAATAAAGTGAGTCACACATGTGAATTTCCAAGTGCATATGAAAGCTATGTGTACCCTATATAGCACATCCTAGTATAGCATCGTTTGTTCAGCGTTGTTCCATTGTAACGATGAGATACTGTAGGAACTTAACTCTTGTGTATATTAATTGGCCTATGGTATATTTGGTTACGTTATGTCATTTCACTTTAGGTGGTAGAACCTATCGACAACATTAAGTGAGGATTTACTGTAGCCTGTTCAGTGTGCAGTGGCATTATGTCTATTAAAACAGTGTATATACATTAATTAATAAAAAGGTTTTATTGCTAAAAAAACAAATCATCTGAGCATTCGGTGAGTCCTAATCTGTTTGCTGGTTGGATTATTTTTTGATGTTGATGAAAATGCAGTATCAGCAAATGCAATAAAACAAGGTATGCCTCTAGTAGCAAAAGAAAAGAGGAAGAAGGAAACACCTTTTGAGAAAATACTGTTTTCCAAACATTGTCCTTGGTAGCATGCCATGAATGTTACCACATTTCAGCTTTATGGCTATGGAAAAACTAGGACTCACAATGGTTCCACTGCCTATGCTCACTCAGACTGGAACGAGTGGAGCATACGCAAAGCTGGCCCAGCACTGTCCTATCTCCTGCTGTCTTCTCAGTGAGGGGATCTCCTGCAGGGCTGGAGTATACCCCGGTGAGAGGAAAACACATTGGCCACACTTCAGAGGCTGCCTCAACTCAGACTGGAGACAAGTGTTTATGTAAAGCTGTCCTCCTGAGTACTGCGGATGACACAGGTGTGAATCAGAAAGAGAAATGTAGTGGAGATCATCACTCTCAGAATAATGAGCACTAAACATACTGAAAGATTCCAGTTGCCTATCTCAGTGGTCGTGGCACTCCCTGTGCCTGCTGTGGCACTGAACAGTTGTCATTCTTCCTCTCCTTTGTTTTACTTCTTTCTTGGCTTCTGGAACACGTCTCCCACCGGGTTCTCTGGCCACCTCACTGAGTGCTCTCTTCCTGACTCCTTAGCTGGTACCTTTTCTTCTTCTCACCCTGTAGTGTGACCCTAGAATTGGGTCGTTGTCTTCTCTCCATCTTGCTCCCTCGGTATGTCTATCTGTACTCACTCAGGATCACAACCTTAAGTACTGTCTGTATCCCAGGACTTGCAGATCTGTCTGCAGCCTAGACCTCTATCTGAGCTTTAGATTCCTATGTCCCCATGTCTGCCAACCTCTCTACTGTAGTCTCAAGGCAAGCGTGTGTAAAACTGAATTCTGACCTGGCCTTCCTTCCCACCTGATGTTCCCCCTCCATGGGCATACTTGCCTTTTCTCTTTCTCCACATCCAACCTGTGAGCAATTTCTGTAGGCACTGTCCTCAAAATTCCTAAGTCTCAGCACTTCTCCCTGTCTTTATCGGGGTGGCCTCAGTCTTGGGGAGATGAGCACTTGTGTATCATCTTGCCAGCTGAAGCCACTGCATCAACTCCTTGTCCACAGTGGTCAGAAGAGCACTCTGGAGGCAGAAGCCTGAAGTGCTTTGTGCCATCTCTGCTGCCAGGGCCTGGATGTTGGGGTCCAGCCCCAGCAGGTCCAGGGGTTCCCAAAGATGTGGACGGAGTCGGTGAAGAAGGAATGACACGGAGACAGCGTTCAGTTGATCAGCATAGTGAGGTTCTTTTTTTATTCTCCTATTACATCTGTATTTATACCATTTGATTTTAATCCTATCCATTCTATTCCAAAAGTTAGGGTGTTTGTTATCTCCATTCCAAGGTCACTACTCTATTGTTCTGTTAAGCTACAAGGAAGTAACTGAAGGAGATTATCCTAAGTAAAAATTATGTAGCTTAAGTGAGATTGTTAGTAGTTAAGGTGATTAACTACCCGCCTGGCACTTAGTTAAGGGGTTTTACTGATTCCCTTCCTTAGTCCTGTTAATCCCTAACTCCAGGGAAAAATCCCCACCTGGGGAAACAACCTTTCCCGGAGAGGTGACCTTGGTTAAAACACATAGCGCTAAGAAGGGGAGCAAACATATTACGAACAGTATGCCATATACGCCAGGTCCCTTGAAACATATGCTGTGCAGATGTTTCTTCCCTGCAGCGACTGTGTCAAGCAGCAAGGATGGACCGGCTTCCGGCACCTGGGCTCGGGCAACCACTTCACCACAGGGGTTTCCTTAAAATTGAGGGTGAATAAAATGACTTAAGGTGCACTCTTGTTTTCTTTCTTTATAAAAAAATTTGATGATTTGCCACGCAGCTTCTGAAACTTCCATTACTCACTACCCACAGTGTTCCTGCCATTCTGCGAGTTGACCAGTAGGTGACATCTTTTTTCATTGTTGTGTTCTTTTTAAAAAAGCAATTTAAGAATATTACTCAACCACACGGGGTTAGCTCATTGTGTTCTCTGATGTTTGACCTGCTATGTTTAGAAACATTGCCTTCGCGTCTCTGGTGGGTCCATCAGATTTTGGTTGGTGTACGAAGTTTAAGTTTGAAAAAATCAGTTACACCAAGTACTTTATATCTGATTTCTAACAAATGAATTTCTTTCCTTTTAATACTAGCCTCTATATGTCGTCTGATTCATTCACAGATTTTAGATAGTGAACAGTGAAGTTTCATAAACTCACATTACTTCTTTGACTTCACAAAGTAAAACATGGAACCAAATAATAAATAGGTCCTTTTTAAATGGTCCAGAGGAATTATGACTCATTTCTGTCTTAACTCCCTAGAGGACATGATTTAGTACTATCTGTTACTATTACATGTAGTGTGTCAGGTTCCTGTTAGGTCCTGTCTGGGGGTATGTGTTCTAAAAGAATCAATCCCATATTTAAAGCTATTTTACGTACAAAGTGGACCCTTACGCTTGAACCCTGGAAATTGCATTTGCCTTAATGATGATGGTGCAGTCCTAGAAAGTCTTGTTTCCTTTCAGGACCCATGTGTTCTGCAGCACTGTGCCACCGCCCAGCTCTCCCAAGGAGCCGTGTGATCCCTGTGGCATGCCACTTAAATCACAGGATAGTCAGCTGGGTTGTTTTTGGATTTATTGCTATGTGTGCTATTATTATCGGTTGCTTTGTTCTACTTTTTATGTTATTGTCTTTGGGACTATAACTTACAGTGGGCTGATTTCTAGTGTGTAAGGTTCTGCATATGCTTCATAAGTTTCACTACTTGTTAAAACTCCAAACTAGGTGGAACATCACAAATAACATGTGGCCGACCTATTTACTCTGAAACTTCTCTAAGCCAGTAGATAAGCTTTCCTTTCAACTTCAGTCTCTGTCAAAACTTGGGAAAACCATAATTTTTTATTATTGGTTTAATTAGCATTATTAAAAACTAAATTTAAAATTTTTCTTATATTATAATAAACCTACCTGAAGTTTACAGTTATAACATTTTGATTGATCAGTATCATTATTTAATAAGTATTAGGCTAAACCAAATTGTTGACATTGGGCCTTTTTTGTTTTTTTAACCTCCAAAACAATAGTTCCATATGGTTCAGCCCAACTCTATTCATTGAGTGCTGGGGTGCTGTAAGAACTGGGAAGAAAGTAGCTACATTTCCTCCTTAGGAAGAAGTTATATAACTGATCCTCTTTACAAAAAGATTTGGTCATGTTTCTTATGTTACCCTATTTATTACAGTGCAGACTAGTGCTGAATACTTGAGAATGAGGACAATTCGAAGAAGATTATTTTTGATTAATCATAAATTCATTGAAAAACTTTCCTGGGCATTCCAAACTAATCAAGATATTGGCAGAAAGGCCCAAGTCTGCTCTGGAGAAAAGAGGGAGTCCTGGGGAAAGGCATGGGTGTTCTCAAGAGAAAGCGTGAGCTTGCATATGTTTTGCCTTCTGAATTGTCATATGCTTGATTTCACTGAATCTATGCCCCACAGGACCAGAGCTTTGAGCTTTCCAGCCTGCACTCTTTCTTTTCCACTTGACTATGAATTCAGCACCACATATTTTAGAGTGAAAACAAGACCTTTAATCTAGATGACACGTAGGTTATTAGTGAGGATAATCTGTGCTGCTTTAGCAAACCTTAAATCTAAATTTAATAGGGCTTCACATATCTCAAAAACAACAATCCAGCGTAGCTATTCTGGGTTTGGCAGTGGTGGAGCATGGGATTAAAGCCCATCTGCTCTTTGTAATTAGTTAGGAACCAGGCTGACAGAAGTTCTGCCACCTTTAGCTCAAGGCTTCCATTGCCACTCTAGACGTGGCTCTTGCCATTCTGGCTCATGAGAAGGGAAAAGGCCTGGAGAAGGATGCAGAGTCAGATGCATGGACCAAGCCTGGAGTAGTTTACAGCATGTTCGTTTATATTCTATTGGAAGGAATAGGTCTCATGGCTTCTCTAACTGCAGTGCAGGCTAGGGAAGTGGTATCGCTGGGTATTTGCCATGGGGGAGGGGGATAAGAGATTTTGATGGACAGCGAGCAGTCTGCTGCCAGGCTTCGAGAGGTGCATGCATTTTTGTGTTCCCTGAATAAAGTAGGCCAAGTTGTGAAAGGTTTACTATTGGGGTAGGTTTATCTATAAGAAAAAATAGCCATGCAAGTGTAGTTTTTTAAATGCAACTCTTTAAACAAGTAGTTTGAATAAGATATGTTTGTGTTTTCAGGCTATTGCACATTATGAACAATCAGCTGATTATTACAAAGGAGAAGAATCCAACAGGCAAGTATTACTTTTCTTAACATAATTAAATGGATTTTCGTCAAGTGTGATAAAAGATAAATGTTTACTATACTCTGTTAGCGAAACGTACTGTACTGTACCAAATGAAAGTGTACTGGGATGTCACTTTATTTCTCTGTTACTTACTTTGCTTTGGTTCTTGATTTCAGTTCAGCTAACAAGTGTCTGCTAAAGGTGGCAGCATATGCTGCCCAGCTTGAGCAATACCAGAAAGCCATCGAGATCTATGAGCAGGTGAGGTTACTGCTGTCTATTCAACTTCCAGCAGAATTTACTCTGAATCTTTTTTTTTTTTACTTTTAAATTTAATTTTCCTTTTTATTAAGACTAATTCACACATTATATAATTCATCCTTTTAAGGAGTACCATGTCTGTGGTGTTTAGTATATTCACAAAGGGTGTGTAACCATCACCATTTCCTAATTCAAAAACATTTTTATCATCTCCAAAAGAAGCCCCATGTTCTCCTCCAGTCCCTGGAAAGACTATCTCTTGTCTGTCTAAGTGGATCTGCTGATTGTAGGCCTTTAATATGTATAGAATCGTTCAATATGTGTGGCCTTTTGTGACTGGCTTCTTTCACTTAGTAAAATTTTTTTCAAGGTTCACTTATGCTATAACATGTATTAATTCATTCATTTTCAAAGCTGAGCAATAGTCCACAGCTTATCCATTTATCAACTGATGGACACTTGGGTTATTTTTATTTAGGGGCTATTATGAATAATGTTCTATGAACATTTATGTTCAAGTTTTTGTTGCGTGTATGTTTGCAGATCTTTTGGCTATATACTTAGTATTAGGATTGCTGGGATATGTGTCAAGTTTATTTTTAACTTTTTGAGGAACTGCCAAATTGTTTTCCACAGTTACCACACTATTTCACCATCCTATCAGCAATGTACAGGGGTTCCAGTTTTTCACATCCTCACCAATCCTTGTTGTTTTCTGTTTGCTTGTTTGAGAACCATCCTAATGAGTGTGAAGCAGTCTCTCAATGTTTCTTTGATTTTCATTTCCCTAATGATTAGTGATGTGGAGTATCTTTTTATGTGCTTATTGGTCATTCATATATCTTCCTTGGAGAAATGTCTATTCAATTCCTTTGCCCATTTTTTTTAAAATATATTTTATTGATTTTTTACAGAGAGGAAGGGAGAGGGATAGAGAGTTAGAAACATCGATGAGAGAGAAACATTGATCAGCTGCCTCCCGCACACCCCCTACTGGGGATGTGCCCGCAACCAAGGTACATGCCCTTGACCGGAATCGAACCTGGGACCTTTCAGTCCGCAGGCCGACGCTCTATCCACTGAGCCAAACCGGTAACGGCCTTTGCCCATTTTTGAAACAGGTTATTTGTTTCCTGGTTTTGAGTTTTAGATGTTCTTTATATATTCTGGATATTAATCCCTTATCAGATAAGTGATTGCAAATATTTTCTCCTGTTCTGTGGGTTGCCCTTTTACTCCGTTGTTAGTGTTCTTTGATACACAAAGTTTTAAATTTTCCTTGACTCAAATTTTTCTTTTTTTGCCTGTGTTTTTCATGTCATATCCAAGAAATTGCCAAACCCAAGGTCATGAAGCTTTCCCCCTGTTTTATTTTAAAAGTTTTATAGTTTTATAGCTCTTCATTCTATTTTGAGTTAATGTTTTGTATATGGTCTTAGTTAAGGATTCAACTACATTCTTTTTTACCTGTAGATTTTCAATGTTCCCACCCACTACTTGTTCAATACACCATCCTTTTGACATTGAATGGTCTTGGTACCCTGTTGAAAATTGAACAATGTGCAAAGGTTTATTTCTAGGCTCTCTGTTTTAATCCACTGATATGTATGTCTGTCTTTATGCCGATATCACACTGTTTGATTACTGTAGCTTTGTAGTACATTTTGAAGTCGGGAAATGTGAGAGTCTTCCAAGGAACTTTGTTTGTTTGTCTGTCCGTCCATCCTCACCCAAGGATTATTTTTCCATTGATTTTTAGAGATAGTGGAAGGGAGAGAAAGGGGAAGAGAGAGAGAAACATTGATGTGAAAGATACATTGATTAGTTGCCCTCTGCATGTGCACCCAGCCATGGCAGGGAACGAACCTGCAACCCAGTTATGTGCCCTTGACTGGAAATCAAACCGGCAACCTTTCTTCTGTGTGCACTTCTAAGCATTGAGCCACACCAGTCAGGGCCAACTTCTTCTTTAAAGATTGCTTTGACTATTTGGAGTTCTTGCATTTCCATATGAGTTTTAGGATCAGCTTGTCAATCTTTGCTAAGAAACCAGCTAGAATTTGACGGGGATTGCATTGAATCGATAGGCCAGTTTGGAAAATGTCATCAAGTCTTACAGTCTGTGAGCACAAGGTGCCTTTCCATTTATGTAGAGCCTTAATTTGTTCACGTCTGTGTGCAAGCCTTGCACTTCTTTGGTTAAACATACGCCTAAGTATTTTATTCTTTTTGATGCTATTATAAATGGAATTATTTTCCTAATTTCCTTTTCAGATTATTAAATGCTAGTTTTATATACTGCAACCTTGCTGAACTTATTCATTAGCTCTAATTTTTGTTTTGTGGATGTTTTTATATACAAAATCATGTCATCTGCAATAGCGATAGTTTCATAACTTCTGCAATCTGAATGCCCTTTACTTCATTTTCTTTCATTTGTCCTGGCTAGAACTTCCAATACAATGTTAAATAGAAGTAGCAAGGGCACACATCCTCACCTTGTTCCCATCTTACGAAGAAAGCTTTCAGCTTTTCACCATTAAGTGTATTGATAGCTGTGGGTTTCTTAATAGATGTCCTTTATTAGTTTGAGGAAGTTCTCTTTTCTTCCTACTTTAACTGTTTTTATCATCAAAGGGTATTGGATTTTGTCAAGTGCTTTTTCTGCATCTGTTGAGAGGATCATGTGTTTTTTATCCTTTAAGTCTACTAATATAGTATATTTCATTGATTTTTATATGTTGAACCAACCTTATATTCCTGGGACAAATCTTACTTAGTCATTGCAACGTTTAGGGGACTCCAAGAACATCTTTAGGTTCAGTAATCTCTAGGATTCATAGAACTCAGTGAAAGCTGTCATACTCAAAGTTATGTTTTATTATAAAAAGGATACAGATTAAAATCAGCTAAAGTAAGAGGTGCCTGCCATAGGGTAGGGTCCAGAGTTCCAAGTAAGGAACTTTCTGTTGTCCTCCCCCTGTAGAGTTGTACAGACAGCACTTCACCTAACAATGTGTGTAAGTATGTGTAGAGTATGGACAAGAAGGGAAGCTCACTGAATGTAGTGTCTGAAGTTTTTATTGGGGCTCAGTCATGTAGATGTGGTTGACTCTTATCATGCAGGACATTCCAAAGATTTAGAAATTACCACCCAGGAGTCATGGACAAAGGCCAGACCTCACTTTAGACAAATTAATCCTTAACTGTATAGTCATGTAATCCTTTTTGTAAGTTGCCAAAATTATTTTGCTAGTATTTTGTTGAGGATTTTGCATTTATATTCATAAGGGATACTGATCTTTAATTATTTTTTTTTTGTCTTGTGATGTGTTTGCCTGGTTTTGGTAGCAACGTAATACTGGCCTCATAGAATGAGTTGGGAAGTTTAAGTGTTTGGAGATTTTCCTGTTATCTTTTTGTTGTTGAATTCTAGTTTGATTCCATTGTTGCTGGAAAACACTCTATGGTTTCAATTTTTATAAATTTGTCAAGGTTGGTTTTATAGCCCAGAATATGGTCTTTCTTGGCATATGTTCTGTAGTTCTGCTGTTCCTGGGTGGCATGTTCTAGGAATGTTACTTAGATTTCCTTGGTTGATGGTGTTGAGTTCTATATACTTGCTAATTTTCCTTTCTAGATCTATCCATTGATGAGCTTGGAGTGTTGAAGTCTGCAACTATTATTGTGGGTTTGTGTCTCTCTCCTTTCATTTCTGTCAGTCTTAGCTTCACATATTTTGCAGCTCTGTTGCTTGCTGCATACATGTTTAGGATTGCTATGTCTTCTTGGTGGGTTGACACGTTTATCATTATACAGAGTGAGGCAAAAGTAGGTTTACAGTTGTGAGTATGCAAAACACAGAATTTATTCTTGTATTACTCTTTATTAATTATTGTATTATTTTCCATATGAACAACTGTAAATCTACTTTTGCCCCATCCTGTATAGTATAATTGTCTTTGCTCTGAAGTCTACTTTATTTGATATTAATACAGCCTTTCCTGCTTTCTTTTGATTAATGTTTATATATGTCTTTTTGCATCTTTTTTCTTTTGACCTGCCTATATCATTATAATTGAAGTGAGTTTCTTTTTTTTTTTAATATATTTTATTGATTTTTTACAGAGAGGAAGGGAGAGGGATAGAGAGTTAGAAACATCGATGAGAGAGAAACATCGATCAGCTGCCTCCTGCACACTCCCCACTGGGGATGTGCCCGCAACCAAGGTACATGCCCTTGACCGGAATCGAACCTGGGACCCTTCAATCTGCAGTCCGACACTATATCCACTGAGCCAAACTGGCTAGGGCTGAAGTGAGTTTCTTATGAACAGCTTATTGTTAGGTCATGCTTTTTAATTCACTTTGCTAATTAGCATATTTTGAGAACATTTATTATAATTACTAGAGGCCCGGTGCATGGAATTTGTGCACGGGGGCAGGGATTGTCCCTCAGCCCAGCCTGTAACCTCTCCAATCTGGGATCCCTCTCACAATCCAGGACTGCTGACTCCCAACCACTCGCCTGCCTGCCTGCCTGATTGCCTGTAACTGCTTCTGCTTGCCAGCCTGATCACCCCCTAACCACTCCCCTGCCAGCCTGATCGACACCTAACTGCTCCCCTGCTGGCCCTGATTGCCCCCAACTGCCCTCCCCTTCCGGCCTGGTTACCCCTAACTGCTCTCCCTTGCCGGCCTGGTCGCCCCCAACTGCCCTCCCCTGCCGGCCTGGTTGGCCCCAACTGCCTTCCCCTGCCGGCCCGGTCACCCCCAACTGCCCTCCCTTTCAGGCCTGGTCACTCCCTACTGTCCTCCCCTGCTGGCCTGATCGCCCCCAATTGCCCTCCCCTGACTGCCATCTTGTGTCCACATGGGGGTGGCCATGTTGTGTGTTGGAGTGATGGTCAATTTGCATATTACTCTTCTATTAGATAGAACTAGCGGCCCAGTGCACAAAAATTTGTGCACTCGGGGGGAGGAGAGGGGGGGGTCCCTCA